GTCGACTATTAAATCAGTCGTCGACGATTTTAATAGTCGACGTAATCATGACTAGTCGACTAATCGTGGCAGCCCTAATGCTGACACATAGTAAAGCATACACATATGAAGTAAAACCCCAGCAATCAAATAATGAACTATAGGCAGCACTTGGCAGAGGTAGGGAGAAAAAAAAGTTATTTTAACAAGAAGTAATCTTCAGCAGAACCAGGCTCAGGGAGTGGCCGCTATGTGCCATGAAGGGAAAACGTAGAGAAAAAAGGAGAGCCAGGAGAAATACACAATCACCATCCACAATGAGAAAGGAAGAGAAAATAGGAAAATTCTGTGTGAAGTGTGAATTAATGTTTATACTGCATCAACGCAAAGGACAGAATTTGAATGAGATGAATGAAATAAACTGTGAAAGAGATCAGTTTAGTTTGCATTAGTAGCGAAAATCCCATCATATCTTTTCATAAACACTTTTTCTGAACCTCAGTGGAAAATGTCAAGGAAAGGTGTGACTCTGACAAAAATTAGAATGGATTGTTTCAGTGTAACCGAAGATGTTGGTGTGTCAGTTGACTGTCTACACTTGGGTTAAGCCTAAATGCATAGTATTGTATTTATAATCAAAAGTTGGTTTCTATCTTCTGAATCATCTGTAGATTGTGGGTATGCTGAATGCACTAGTCAGATGCATGTCTGAATTACCCTGATTAAATGAATACAACACTGGGGATTAAGAATATCCTTACAAAGCTCCTCGTGGTGCTGCAGGTTTCTTTCGGAGTCTCAAACTGATTTTGCTTGGAATCAAGGAAACACCACCCCTTCTACCTATTTCATTAGCAGCTTGTTTTATATAAAGGATTTCTTCTTTAGAATTAATTACATCAGCCCACTGTGTCTCACAAGGGGACAGCACACAGTTTAACATTTGAAGGGTTATGGATCAGGCTATCAGATGCTGATAGACGCAGTTCATTGTCTGAAACCCCAGGTGGCCGAGTAATTCGGAAGCGCTGCAGAAGGAAGGTGAAGAAGATGAAGAGTTCCATCCTGGCCAGCCTTGCTCCGGGACAAACCCTGCGACCTGAAATAGAAAACAAAAAATATGCTAGATTATATCTGTGAGTAGACTGGGTCTCGACAAGAAGTTGATTACAAACCTGCAGAAAAAACCATGATGACCAAGACCAACCATGACCAAGATATATTCACAGGATATTACACAAAACTCATATATTGTTTTTACATGCGACTTAAAAGTAAAATTGCATCTGGGACAAACGAGTTTTGGATGAAAACATTTTTAGAACTTAAAAATGCAAATAACTGATTGATGTAGACTGAAGAGTGTATAAAACATTGATTTTCATAATAATTTGGATAATCACATACTAACTGATCAGAGGAAGAATCCTTCACTCTGTTTTTTTCCACATCTGTGACGATGTTTTAGTAATCAAATCTCTGATTATGTGTTAAGCTGTAATATACAATAAACACATCATTTGTGTTCTGATATATTTTACCTTCTTAATGAAGTGACCTCTAAAGGTAATGTCCTGTGAAGTTCTGTGAGGAAGCCCCAGGACAGCTATAGCTGTTGTAGCCTCTGTGTCTCATGGATGACAGCATTGGTGAAAGGCAGCTCTGGCCTGTCTTTAAACTGGACCTGATGATCTCCCACTACACTGCTTAGCTCCTCCCGGACCTTCTCTGGAAGATGAAAGGGCTCGAAGGATGTAATAAATTTGACTTCAGTGTAACGCAAATTTTTGTTGTTTGCAAGTACTTTGAACATTTACAGGTCCTTACCCTGTATCTTTGGATACTTGGCCATAAGAAAAAGTTCCCATGTGATTGTGCGTGATAATGTTTCAGTACCACCAACAAAGATTTCATTGTGGAAATGACTGGTGGTAATTCCAGATTTCTGCGTATGAAATCAGAGGTGATTCAACAGATGATGCTTTTAACTATGAAACTGATTCACATTGCTGTGTTAAACAGATTTTATTTCACCAGTTGGGCAGAAACACGACCGGCTTAGGATAACATGTGCACATTATTGCCATTGCTCTTTAAAAAAAGAAACAATATCAGCTTTGTATAAAGTATTTGTTCCTCACCTCCAAATTGTCTTGGTGAATCAGAAAGGCATCCACAAATCCTCTGCACATCTTTGGATTGAGAGTTTCTTTCAAATGACTCACTAACTTAATCTGTTGTTCCCTATTGGCTGCAAATGCTTTTTTAAATTCATTTGGGTAAGAGAACCATTTGCCAATCCTCGGGAACATGTTATAAAGCTGTAAAAACCCAAATGTTTGTTCATTTCATAAGAAGTACTTTTTATATAATGGGATTCTTGTTCAAAATTAATATGCTTGGTATAAACTTTGTAAAGGCACCTTTTTATCTTTTACAATCAGTGTGTATAAAATAGTTTAAAGGGTTCCAAAATTAACGGAACAACTGTTATGATTTTATTTTCAAAATCATATGGAAATTTCAAGTAAACTAGGACAAGCCCTTACTTTTGTGTAAGAGCAAGATGGTATAGCAAATCAGTTTAAATTTACAAAAAAAAAAAAAAATCTTTGAACTTTCAATTATACCAGGACAGATGGGGTACTCAAAAGTTTGTTGTTTCTGCATGTACGATATACCAAAGATGTAAACTCGGGGTCATTGTAATCAAATCTGTTGCCATAGATCAAGGAGCAGATAACATTTGCAGTTGCGTTGCTTAATAATTGGTTAACATCAAATGCTTTTCCTGCAAAGAAAGTGACAAAAAGTCAAACAACTTGCAATTTCTATCATTCATCAACTGTTCACGTTTTTATAGATTTTTAGTTATCTGGATTGTTGTAATCTGAGGAGCTTGGACAGAAAGCAACGAATTTCTCCAAGAAATGTAAAGAGGTCCCGAACTGATGGAACTTCTTTAAGATTCTTCAAGACATTTAAAACCTTTAAAATTCAGAAAAAGGTGTTAATATATATTTCTTGGATAACTACTGATAAAAAAACACATCCATGCTCATCATACATTACAGTCTGACCCTGTAAACTAGCAAGAAAGAAAACTCCTCACATTCACTAACGTCACATATATTCTCTTCAGGTCCAGCTGCAGCAGGTTCTCAATTAAAGGAAGTGGTGTGGGTCCAGGAGGCTCCTTTCCATCCTTTTGGGTGCAAAAAATGTTGGAGGAATGTAAATAGAACAGTAGAAAGACTGTCAGAGCTGCAAGTGAATAAATGGACTCGAGAAAAACATGTAATATCTCCATGGCTTAAACACAGATGAGTTTGAACTGAAAGACACGATGACTAAGGGTTATGATGAACACAATAGGAATGAGACACGGTTCAGAAAACTTAACTCATATTACTGTACTTTGGTCTGTGCTAACTGATTAGGAAACAGGGGATGATTGACACACTCACTTAGTGTTCTACATCTTAGACTGTTGTTTATTGTCATTGTATCAGTTTAGCCCAAGATGTCCATTAATGTGTCACTGTCTTTTAGTTAATTTGTATCTGTTAGTTCTTTAAACACAAATTGGCATGTCTTTAAAAAATAACTAGTTGTTCTTTAAGAGGGACAGATGGGTCAAATGTCAGCGTGACATTTCAGGCAGGTGACATTGACACCTAAGTTTGTGAATGTGTTTACTCGAAAACAAGGCAATATAGGAGCTTCAAGTTGCTACCATAGGTGTAGCTACTAAAGATTTCAGGTGAGTGTAAATGAAAGTGACTTCGACATAAAGTTCAGAGGTCAAGTTTTCTGAAAAAATTATCAAAGCCATAACTCAAGAAGATTTTGAACTCAATACCGTAGCTGTATGTACAATAAATCATGGATGAGTTTTCTGAAAATTTTGTAGATGTCAAAAAATTACTTTTGAACAAAATGCAATAGGATTTTGAAATTTAGATCATAGGTTCAGCACCTAAGATTTGTGGACGAGTTTGAATCTCAGTGACCTCGACTTCAAGGTTGAAAAGAAAAGTCAGAGGTTTTCTTAAAATCTTTTGAATGCAACAACTCAAGAATGAGGTGACGTAGGATTATAAAATTGATACCAGAGGTGTGCCTACTAAGAGGTTGAGGGGTAACATTGGTGGCTGCCAGTAGTTTTCAGATCATTGTTGTTGAAAATTTTTCACTGAAAATTATTTTACTGCATTTGAGTCTTGTTTCATCTCATGGAAAACCGGACATAAAATGAAAAATTTGTAAAACTCTGAAAACATTTAAGTACATTTTTAACAGTAGCAAGTGAAGTAGCTTTGTAAATGCACTAGAGTAGATTTCACAGGTATTTTCTTCATGCTACACGTCTATCCGCACGTTATTCTCAGCAGCGCTGTGTTTTATTGACTTTATTGGCAGCTCTCTGTCCATCTGAGGTGCATGAACTGTAACAACCCTTATTGTGTTACGACACCACTAAGGAAGTTGCCCTACTATTGTAGTTGTCATGAGAGTCCTCCTAGTGTGTGTGAGTATAGTGTGGCAACCATTATATGCTGCTAGTGTGTCTGTTCCGAGAGAGACCATGCCATTGTAACAGGCTGGTGCCAGCGACTACCCATCCTCTCACATGTATGTACGGACGGAGTATAGCCGTGGAGACCTGGCTTGTATGGTCTTATGTTGCTAATGTCAAATAAAGGTCTGTTGATCAACTTAACTGACTGGCTTCGAGTTATCCAGCTAACCGCCACACCACGTTCCCACTGGACCAGTTAGCTGCTCTTTCCTCGCCAGATTGCTGTTACAGAACAGTCTGGAGAATAAGATGAGCAATATTCTTTTAGTCGTCTCAAAGGGCACAAAATCAGATCTTATAGCTTTTAGAAGCTTTTCAAACTCATGTTATCTGTGTAACCCCAGTCACGAGTCTAGACAGCTTAGCACAGTGTGTAATGATTTTTATTAGCAACAAGAGCATTTTTTGACTTACATTGTTGTCACGACCACAGCTGCCGAGCTTCCTAGCTGACATCAGTACCTCACTCCGGGTCCCAGCTTCACTGTAAAAGGGGTGAGATGTGATTACACAATAACATACAGTTGTCCACCAGCCTCTCTGGCACTGCCCCTTGAGCCTGCTGCACCACCCCTCCCCTGCAGCGAAGTCAAAGACCACACCTCTGCCACAGTCTGATTTAATTGATTTATTTGTTCTGTATGACTGGTTTATTTCCCTGTACTCTCCGCTCCCAAAGAGCTCGGGGGCTAGAAAAAAATCAATCTGTAATGCTTCAAAATTCTGTGAAGACAAAATGCTTCATTGTTCTTGTGCTTCTTTTATCTGGAAATGTACAACCTAACCCTGATCCAGATTGCAAATGTTTGAGTACTCCCTTTGATTTTAAAGCTAGATATTATTCATTTAAATGTTAGAAGTCTTCTTCCTAAAAATAATTTTAAAAAATTGGGTGAAAGCATTGGATACTGATATTCTTTTGTTATCTGACACCTGGGCTAATAAATCAATTACTGACGAAGATATTGCAGCAAAGCGTAACAATCTTTTTTGTTGTGAATGCCCAAAGTAAGGTGGTGGTGTTGCAATTTATGTTAAAAACAGATTCCACAGTACTTTTCAATCATCAGTGTCTGTTTGAAAGGAATTTGAATTTCTTGCCCTCAAGCTCCAACTTTTCAAGGGCCATTTAATTAGTATTGTAGATTCTTATAGACCCCCCTTGGCAAATAATGAGGCTTTAATTTAGTGATAAATTGTCTATTTTAGTGTAGATTCTAATGAAATCTCTATTTTAAATGGGAGTGGTTGTCTTCTGCATCAGACAGCTTTAAAACTATATGTGATTCATACAATCTCAAACAACTAATTTACTGCCCAACTTGTCCAAATTTTAAATGGCCAGAAGAATCATCACTTGATTAATTTTTCATTGACAAATTTTTAACTCTAACACTAATTCATTCAAAACTGCTTTAATGTTAACCATATGTTGTAAAGAGGTGATCCTTCAGGTGTTAATAACTATAGCGCCATATCTAAATTGGCTTAGTTTAGTAGTGAACAACTACAATATTTTTTTTACAATCCTTTTTTTTTTCTTTTCCAACATTAGTCAAGATTCAGAAAACAACACAACACAATAACTGCTGCTATTAAAGTGGTGAATTATATTATTGATGCAATGAACTGCAAAAAAATACTGTGCTGCTCTTTTTCTTGACTGGTAGCTTGAAGCTTTTTGACACAGTAACCATGCCATTTTAGTAAACAGACTAAACAATATTGGTTTATCTTTAATTTCTTTGTCAAATTACTTTCTTCTTCCTCTTTTCTCCCAGTACCCAAAGGAGTTCCTCAGGGCTCCATATTAGGACCGTTGCTCTTTACCTCTATATGAATAACCTTTCTGATAATTTATCAAATGCAGCATTCCATCTTTTTGCAGATGACACAACTATTTATTCTTTATCTCCTACAGTAGCACAAACCCTTGAATTTCTGCAATCTGCCTTTGATGTTGTTCAGTCTCATTTAACTCAACTTACGGTGTTAAATGTAGACAAATCCGAGTTTATGTTGTTCTCAAATGGCAGAGTTGTTTCCTAAGAATAAAACAATTCAAGGTGCTGAAATTGAGATGTTCACATCTTAAAAGTATCTAGGTATTATTATAGATCATAATTTGCCAATTATAGAAGTGTGGACTAAAAGAGAAAGTATGCTGTATAGTGCAGACTAGGACCTGAGGCACCATACCAGCTGCAGCATCAGGAGTTGTGTCTTTGAGTCTGTCTCTCTCTCTCTTCAACCCACCTGCCAGTCATTAAGCAATGAATTCACTACCACAGAAGTCACAGTCTAGTGTGCTAGCTGTGGTTTATATACATGTTTCTTGCTCTTTGACAATGTCTAAAAAAAAAATGTTTTTCTAGAAATTTTGAAAAATTCTGAGAAAAAAAAATTGTCTCTTTCAGTTCAAATAACACATTTTGGATATTTTCTTTCAAGGCCATGGGGCCAATAGATGCTGTTTTTATTGAGTCAACAAACTCTGTCTTCTTAGTAATGGTTCTGATTTGCTGCCGGCACTGAAACAACATCAACTAAACTAAGATGGGCACTTCTGCTTATAGCCAAATATCCAAAGATACAGGGTGAGGTGCCTGAGTAATCCTCAATTTGAAAATGCCAATGGACAGGAAGGAGTGACCATAAAAAAATCAAAGGAAAGATGTGATGTAAATTCCATTTCTTGACTATAGCTTAGGGTTTTCAGTCCCCTAGGGATAAAATGTGTCCACTTTGTCTTTCATGTACCAGATGAGGTCCAGGAGGAAAACGTATGTGCTGTTTCTTCTCATTCCAGTCCTTCTTGTGCCTACTGCCTTCTCGCTATTATTCCCCATATAGAAGATTTTCCATTTCTGTATTGTAATTTCTGCAGGGAACCACAGTGTTTCCTGTCTTGACATCTGTCCTGCATGATCCAGAGAAGTGGGAGAGACCACACAGCTTTTATCCTGCTCACTTCCTGGACAAAGAGAAAAAGGTTGTTAAGCGAGATGCCTTCATTCCATTTTCTGCAGGTTTGTGAGCTCAGCCATCACTGTTTAGGTTACATCTACTGACAGGACAGCTGAAGTTATTCTTCAATCGTCTCTTACAGGTCGCAGGGCTTGTCTTGGAGAGAGTCTGGCCAGGATGGAGCTCTTCCTCTTCTTCAGCACCCTCCTGCAGCATTTTCGTTTCACTCCTGCACCTGGAGTTTCAGAGGATGAATTGGATCTCACGCCAAGTGTGGGCGCTACTTTCGGACCTTCACCTCACAAACTGTGTGCTGTTTCTTGTATGTGATGGAGAGAAATTCTTGACAAAAGTTGTCCTAGCCTGTACAAAGAACTGAATCGTCTGGGTGTAATCTTTTTTTCCTCTTTGTTTTTTCTACTAAACAATAAAAGTTATTTGCCATAGAAATGTATGCCAAAATCATCAGTACTGTAGTTTTCTTGGATGTGTGTGTAAAAGATTTTTTTTTCTTTTATTAGTTAGACAAAAGATGGATCATATATGGAAACAAAAAAACTGGTTTTTATTTTATTTTTTTGTTTTGTTCTGTTTTGTTATTTCTCCCCATGGATGATTTATCTCTCCTAAGAACAGCAGCATATGTCCATATTTTCACAGACATTGGAAGACCAAATGTTGCTGTTCTTAGGTATTTAAGAAATATGGATCAGTTATCACAGTCTATCTAGGAACCAAAATAGTGGTGGTTTTTGCAGAATTCAAGACTGTGAAGGACACACTTGTTGGTTATGAAATAGTCTTTGGAAATAAAACCATTGCATTTTGAAAAAGAATTTAGACAAGGGCGTGGTAAGAAAAGAAAACTATCAAAAATAAGGATCCATCGTCCTGTGTTATTCAAAATACTTTCTGAGCGTTTCTCCTCAGGGGTTTCACTGTGACTGTGGCTATACGTAATCATTTCTCGTGGCTTTTTTGGTCTAAAAGTGATTCATGAATGGAAATGAGACTATTTGCATTTACTAATGTGAGAGACTTCAGGATGGAGAGCTTGTGACAGAAGAATGTCAATACCTCATGTTTACATCTAAAAGTACAGTTTAGTTTATTTAAACTGAGATGAACTAGTACTGCATTACCTGAAATGCTACGTAAATTTTTCACAATTTGAATTCTCTTTTTGGTCATAGAAGTGGCAATTTATACAAAATTGTCCTACCCTGTTGCCTGGATTTAAAATTTAGCCTAATTATATTCAAATTAGTGTCTCCCCAGCCTGTCATGTAGTTCTCGTCTGCATGTTTCATGTTATCGAGCTTTTGTTAGCATGTCTACATCTCTCCATGTTTCCTGTTTTATTTTGAAAGTCTTGTGTTTCCATGGTCAGTGTGTTTAGTTTTGGCGTGTTTTTTTCTTTTTTTTTCACATCATAGTTCCGCATGCAGCTTTTCAGATTCATGTTCTCTTGTCACAGTTTATCTGAGTTTATTCCCAGTTTAGATTTCAGTTTAGTTTTTACCCCAGCGCACTTTGCCTTGTTTTGTGTTCATGTACTGTCAGCCAAATAAATGGCTCACCTTTTCTTGTACTGAGTTTACTCTCCTGTGTCTGTTTTTTGTTCCGCTTCACAAACAGACCAGCTACGCGGCCGTGACTGTATCTGACCTTATTCTAGTGTTTGAAATTCTGTTTAAACAGTAATATATGGTTTGAAGTACCAAATGCCATTTGAAATACGATTTCTGTCTAATACATTACTATGGATGGAGTGCCAAAATAAATTAAATAAATACATCAATAAATAAAAATGGATTGCATTTATGTAGCGCTTTTGAAGGCACCCAAAGCACTTTACAATTCATTCACTCTCACAGACTGATGCAGGCAAACCACAGTTGTAGCCACAGCTGCCCACACAGTTGTACAACTGCACAGAAAAATAAGCTTGAGAACTTGGCTGAAGCAAAAAAAACAAAAAAAAAACTTCTTAATGGTGTTCATCACGAGAACAGCTGCTACTCATGATTCAGGTCTTCAGTGGTAAGTCCGGCATTTTTATAAATCTGTTTTCCAAACAGTAACAGCTTAGCTCTATATTACATTTATTTCTTATGATTAAATACAAATAACTGTAAGGGATAATATCTGGAAGATTACTAAGGCCTTAAAAAGAACCAGGGAAATCTAACGGATTTTGTCACTATTTCACTTTTTATTCATAATCCTTTAACTCAAATACACTCATTATTTGATTGTAGTTAAACAATAGGAATTCTGTGTCAGGTCTTTCTGAGTAGAAAATCAATATCAGTATAGAGCAAAGTAACAGCTTGCTAAAAGTAATGATTTACTAAGTCACATAGATTAACCTTTATACTGCATTTTCCCACCCCCTTGTAGTGGATGTCTAGATTGGTCGGCTAAGAAACAAAAAGAAAAAAAAAAGAACTTCAGTACCAAATGCTGGGTCAGTAAGTCACTGTGTACAAATAACTATCAGAGGACATTTTGTTTTATAATCATGGGGATATTCGAT